GCTTCATGTTTTTGTGATAATAATGTGAGCATTCCCCTCCCCCACCCCAGTGCACCAGCACACCTTTTAATCCACCCATTCATTGTTCAGTGTGCTTTTGCATGGTGGGCAATGAACTTGTTTTACAGCGAAACCTGATCGCACCCAACAGCCAAAGTGGGGTTATGGCTGGAACAAAAACAGAAGTTGCTGGGAAAGCTCAGCAGGTCTGGCAGCATCTGTGAAGGAAAAAACAGAGTTACTGTTTCGAGTCCTGTGACCCTTCCTCAGAACATTTTTTATTCGGTTGTGGCTGGGTAGCTGGTTTGCGATGTAGAGTGACATCAACAGTATGGGTTCAATCCCCACACTGGTTGAGGTTACCATGAAAGGTCTATCTTAAGTCCTTGCCTGAGGCGTAGTGACCCTCAGGTTAAACTCACCTTCTGCTGTTTTTCTCTGATGAGAGAGATTGTTAGCACACATTAAAAAGGTTGCACAACATAGTGATAGCTACTGCTTCAGCTAACACCCTCTCCCAACAGTGACCAGCTGTTTGTAAACCAGTGCAGCCCTGATATCAAATTCCAGCATGACTTAAAGGGACACTCACCACTTAAAGGAATCCCCACCATTTCATGATCATTGCTGCTACCCTGCAAGGAAGAATTCTGAAACAGATCAGGAGACGTTCCGGAACACGTTGTTAGGACTTCACAAAAGATTGCAGCCTTTGGCCATGGGAAGTTTGCTATTGTGAAGTGTCTTGGTCTGACGGAGCAATGTGTAGAGGACATGAAACAAACAGAGAAATCAGGAGGTTAGCTATAGGTCCTCTTCTTCTGAGCCTGAGTGGATGCAAATGGCCTATTCACTTATTCAGAGATGCCAGTGATTTGGGGTGGGGTGGAATGTTGAGGGAAGAGGTTGGGGCAGGTATAAAGAGGTAAAGGTTTAGAGGGCAGATGAGGAAAGTTTCTTTCATTCAGAGGGCAGTCAGGGTCTGGAAGGATGAAGACAGAAACCCTCAACTCGGTTAACAGGCATCTGTTTCTGTACCTCAAGCGCTATAACCTGTGGTTCAAATGCTAGAAAGTGGGTTTAGCTTGTGTGGTTGATTTTTATGGCCAATGTGCACACTGCGGCCATAAAATTTTTACAGTGTAGGCAGAGGCCGTTCGGCCCATTATGTCCATGCTAGTCATCAGTCTGGATCTACTCGAGATAGTAGGAACTGCAGATGCTGGAGAATCTGAGATAACAAGGTGTAGAGCTGGATGAACACAGCAGGCCAAGCAGCATCAGAGGAGCAGGAAGGCTGATGTTTCGGGCCTAGACCCTTCTTTCTTGTATGCTTTGGCACTTCATCTGTTCATCTCAATAGTTCTTCAAAACTCTGATGATTCCTGCCCTTACCATCCTTTCAGGCAGTAAATTCCAGACACCAATCATGCTCTGGGTAAAGAAACAAAATCATCCTTAAATCCCCTCTCAACCTCTTGCCCCTTTACCTTAAAACACTGGCTATTGATCCCTCTATTCAGAGGAAATTTATCTTCTTATCTATGCCCCTCATAAGTATGGTCACCTTAGTCAGGCTCCCTCTCAGTGGTAGCATGGTGGCTCAGTGGTTAGCACTGCTGCTTCACAGCACTGGGGACCCAGGTTTAATTCTAGCCTCGGATGACTGTCTGTGTGGAGTTTACACATTCTCCCTGTGTCTGTGTGGGTTTCCTCTGGGTGTTCTGGTTTCCTCTCACAGTCCAAAGATGTGCAAGTTGCTAAATTGCCCCATAGTGTTCAGGAATGTGCAGGCTGGGTGGGTTAGCCATGGGAAATGAAGGGTTACAGGAATAGGGTAGGAGGGTGGGTCTGGGTGGGATGTTGTTTGGAGGGTCAGTGCAGACTCGATGGGCCGAATGTTGGGAATCTATGATCCTCAGCCTTTGCGCTGTAAGGCATCGTAAGGTTCAGGTCCGAGAAACTGTCTGTAGATTCCTGAGCCAAGCTGAAAGCTGCTCTCTGCCATCCAGAGCACTCCCCACAGAGTGATAGTCCTTGCAAGAGAGAATTGTATGGGAACCAACACTGGATTGTTACACCTGCAAGTTTCTGTTTCAGGCCTGTGCACACTAAGTGTTGATCGTCGTTTAGACCAGCAGCAACAAAAAAACAAATTGCACGCAAATCCGTACTTGTTCATACCGGCATATCTTATCAGTGTAACGCCCGTTTAACTTCTATGATTCACACGCCCTCCGGAGCGCATTTCAAAACGATTTGTTTTGATATTAAATTAAAACATACCCTAATGCAAAACGAAGGAGGCCATATTTTAGGACCTTGGGTGTCTTTCGGATGGTTCGAGGTGCTTCCGAATTTTTCAAGTGCTATTCACTATTGTTTCGAGGGAAAATGACAACCAAATTCGCACAACAGTAAGATCCCTCTGGAAAGACAAGGCATGATAATGACTGGGCACTTGTAGCACAATGGTAGTGTCCCTGCCTCTGACCCGGGTTACCAAAGATGTGTGACAATACCTATCGAAGCAGCAAAAGAGAACAAAGTGTGGCTGCCAGAAATCTGAAACAGAAACTCCTGGAGAAACTCGGCACGTAGGGCAGCACCCCTGCGCAGGGACAGGCAGGGTTAAACTTAATCGCCAGTCCCGAAGAAGGGCCACTGGACTCGAAACGGGAACTGTTTTTCTCTCTCTAGAGATGCTGCCAGGCCTGCTGAATTTCTCCAGCAACATCTGTTCTTCACTCTGAACAGGTAGCCTAGGAAAATGTCAGTAAGCCATTCGACTCAGTGATAGAGTGCCTATCTCTAAACTAAGCGACCCGGGTTCAAGTAAATAACAACAAAAAGAGAGAAATTAGGAAAATATAGATTTATAATTATGGCATTACAATAGCGTGTGTTTTTATATGACAGCACACGTCTCCTTGAATAATACTACTTGTGATAGACTTTATGATAGAAATTGAATCATAATTTATTTTTTGAGTGATGTTTACTTAATTTGGCTACATGGCTTAATTTGTACTTAATGGGAAAATACAGAACATGGTTTTCCAGCCAAAATATTCTTCAAAACAAAAGGTGCGGAAGGAAATATTTGTTTATTAAAATATGAAATGATGAGGTTCGATCACTTTGAGGTTAATATTCTTTCCTTCTGGCTTTCTGTTGATGGAATGGTTTGTATTGTCGGAGGGACATTGAAAGCATTTTCACTTCGTCTCGACAACTAGCCTGTCCTGTGTCTTAATTCATAGAATCCCTACAGTGTGAAAACAGGCCCTTCGGCCCACTAAGTCCACACCGACCAGCCAGACCCATCCCCCCATAACACACCTAATCTACACATCCCTTAACACTACGGGCAATTTAGCATGGCCAATCCACCTAACCTGCACATCTTTGGACTGTGGGAGGAAACCAGAATACCCAGGGGAAACCCACACAGACACAAGGAGAATGTGTAAACTCCACACAGGCAGTCACCTGAGGGTGGAATCGAACCCGGGTCCCTGACGCTGTGAGGCAGCAGTGCTAACCACTGAGCCACTGTGCCACCCCTAATACGATCTTCAGATCTGCACTTGCAACTAAATATTTGGACAAGTGTGAAGGAGGGTGAGACGGGGAGCCAAATGTGTGTCTGCATTTGTTTGGGCGGGGGGGCGCTGAAAGAGTCGAATTTCTCCAGGAGTGTTTTGTTTCTGTATCAGATTTCCAGCAGCTTCAATTTTGTTTTCTTTTCCTGTTTCGAGAGGTATTGTCACACATCTCGGGTAAACGCGGTGTGCTTTGGTCCTAGTGTGGAGGTGCTTTCAGAGATTACATCCCAACTCTCTGAGGCACTGTTTAGCGTCGGGACCTGCCATTCAGTAACAAAATGAAAAGGTATCACTCTGGTTAGTTTGCTCTCTCTCCATGGATGCTGCCCGACCCACTGTGATCTCCAGAATTTTCTTTTCGTTTTCAATGATGAGCATCTGACTTCTGCATTCAGCGCCTCACCATCGCTAAAGGATCTAGAATCAGGTCTTGCAAGCATAAAATGACAATTCTCCCTCTCGGCCTGCCTTTCCACTTATCTTCTGAGGTAGTGCCTTAGGACTAAGCTTTGCAACTCATGCCTCACACTTATAAGCTCATCATTTTGTTTTGTAAAGACGGGAGAAATTAAATAAACCACAAAGGAGATTTCCAAGCCAACTATCAGTTTATGTTAGTTTAGAGTAGCAATTCGTGCAGACCCAAAGTCCATCTCTCTGCTTTATATACCCTTCTTACCCACTGTTTACTTTTCCCCCTGCGTTCCCAGCACCATCTCTCTGTTACAATATAAATCCCCTACCGCCTGGCCAGTGTTCCCAGCTCGGTCTCGCTGCCATGTATCTCTCCCAGTCCATTTCCCCAGTACAATTTTTTCTGTTATGTAACACAGACCCACCAGGAGTATCATACAACAAAATGGCTGGAAAATCTCAGCAGGCCTGGTGCGTCTGTGAAGAGAAACCTGAGTTAATGTGTCGGGTCCGTTGAGATACGTGGCTGTCTGTGAAAAGCACGATAAAGTCGCAGTTTTGCGTAGCCTGAACAAGGTTTTGTACAACTCCAGCACAACTTCCTTGCTCAAACATTCTATATCTCACGTAATAAGAGAAAGTAGCAGCTCTGACTCCCTGCTACCCTTCCCCTATCCACTACTATCAAGGCGTGTGTCGCTTCGCTGCACCTGCCGATCCAACACCGCTCACCTCCCCCCCCCCCCCACCCCCCCACGCCCCAACCCTCTTACTCCTCCGCTCCAAAACTACCTGAGCTGCGTTTGGAAAGACCCTTTGGCACCTGACCAGCTGCATTCTGTGTGCCAGACGTAACAGGTGGAACAGGCTGGACCAGCTTACTGCATTGTGGGTGTAAGGAGGCGAAACCACGTGCTTTTATTTCAAACGGCTCCCGGAGCCAAGTCAACGAGTTCATCAGATCAACTTCCAACCTCATACAGGATGCACTGCAAATGTAATGATCCTGGATAACCGCTCCTGACAGGAAGCAGAGCAACTACCAGGCTGAATGCCACTCACTGAGGAACAACAGGAATAAGTCTGTACCTGTTAGCTAGAGGAATCTACCCCTGTATTGGGTTACTGAGAGAACAGCGGGACAGATCCAACAGCAGCTACTGAGAGAACAGGAGTACAGAGTTCCAACACTGAGAGAACAGAAGTACAGAGCTCCAGCACTGAGAGAACAGGAGTACAGAGCTCCAACACTGAGAGAACAGGAGTTCAGAGCTCCAACACTGAGAGAATAGGAGTACAGAGCTCCAACACTGAGAGAACAGGAGTACAGAGCTCCAACACTGGGAACAGGAGTACAGAGATCCAACACTGAGAGAACAGGAGTACAGAGATCCAACACTGGGAACAGGAGTACAGAGCTCCAACACTAAGAGAACAGGGGTACAGAGCTCCAACACTAACAGAACAGGAGTACAGAGCTTCAACATTGACAGAACAGGAGTTCAGAGCTCCAACACTGAGATACAGCAGCAGGACAGAGCTTCAACACTGAAATAGAACAGGACAGAGCTCCAACACTGAAAGAACAGCAGGATGGAGCTCCAACAGTGAGTTACTGAGACACGGCAGCAAAAGCCCGAAAACTTGGCTTTTGAGAGGGAACGAGGAAGCAGCGCCTGGAAAATCCGAAGGCACCGCCAGGCAATATCCGAATGTTTCCCGTCGGCTCTCGGCAACAGACAGTGAAGGGAATCTGAAAGCAGCGGCCGGAGATGGAGAATCATGCCTCATCCGAAAGTTCAGAGCCGCAAGCAGGTGAGAGGAACATCCGGGCAGAGTGTTCACTGACAGCCTGAGGGATGGGAGACTTCTCCAAACGAGATCTAAGGACTGTTAGGCCCGGAGAAACGGAGTGTAAGGGGTTAAGGGCCGGCTTGCAGATAATAACTCTTCAAAACGTGAGTGAGTCCAGCCAGCACTTTGGAAAATGTCACCAGAAGTAAATCTTTTCTCTCGTTGAGAGACTCACAGACATTATTAAAGCAAATAGGGAGCCAGCCTACAAGAGATCTCTTTGCTCACATTAGAAAGACTCCAGTTGCTTCATTCCACTCCGCGTGTGAATGTGTAAGGGTTTTTTTTAAGCTTACGAGGTGGGATTGAGATAAAACTCCCCATTTCCAGGCGGTAGGGTAATACATTTTATTTTAAGTTCACTAGATTTACATTTCAGATTTGTCATTACGCAGAAGCACAGGCGGGTGGATTTATTTCAACAAAATATACAGCACAGTCAGGTCTGACAATGACAGGGTGAGATCTACATTTAAAAACCAAAAGAACCGCGGATGCTGTAAATCAGGAACAAAAACAAAGTTGCTGGAAAAGCTCAGCAGGTCTGGCAGCATCTGTGGACGGGAAAACAGAGTTAACGTTTCGGGTCCGGTGACCCTTCTTCAGAACTGTTCTCCTCCACAGATGCTACCAGACCTGCTGAGCTTTTCCAGCAACTTTGTTTTTGAGATCTACATTTCCTGTCAAAGGGACTGTTTATCCACGTTCCTCCTTGGACAAGGGCAGTAGGGACGACTGCGTCCCTTGCTTTCCCCGTGGAGTCTTTGAGAAAGAGATTGGCGTCTTGCTGCTGATCCCAGCCCCTGCCCCACTGCGACCCGAGGCCAGCGCTGGAATTACACCGCCTCAGGACATCCCCGGTCTTTGCAGTCTCCAATGTCATTGTTGACGTGTTGCAAAGGGGAGGGAAGCCCGGTTATTTTGAGAGAGTCATTTGGAATGGCAACATCCCACAACCGGTGCGAGAGGAACAATGTTCAGGATGGTTCAGTGGATTCTCACAAGCGCCAAGTACCCGGGTTCGATTCCACCCTGGGGCGACCGTCTGTGTGGAGTTTCTTCCTACAGACCAAAGATGTGCAGGATAGGGTGGATTGGCCATGCTAAATAGCCCATAATGTCCAGGGATGTGCAGGTTTGGTGGGTTAGCCATGGATGGGAAACGCAGGGTTACAGAGAGATATTGTGTGCCTAGTCAAAGAAAAAGGAAGCATTTGTCAAGGCTAGGAGGCTGGGAACACAGGAAGCAAGGGTGGAATACAAGGAAAGTCGAAAGGAACTTGAGCAAGGAGTCAGGTGGGTTAAAGGGGATCACGAAAAGTCATTGGCCAACAGGATTAAGGAAAATCCAAGACTTTTTATACATAAATAAAACTTGAAGAGGGTAGTCAGGAAGAGGGTTGGCCCACTCAAGGACAGGGAAGGGAATTTATGTGTGGAGCCAGAGGAAATGGGTGAGGTATTAAATGGGTACTTTGCATCAGTATTCACCATAGAGAAGGACTTGGTGGATGATGAGTCTGGGGAAGGGTGTGTAGATAGTTTGGGTCATGTCGAGATCAAAATGGAGGAGGTATTGGTGGTCTTGAAGAACATTGAGGTAGACAAGTCCCCAGGGCCTGATGGGATATACCCCAGAATACTGAGAGAGGCAAGGGAGAAAATTGCTGGGGCCTTGAGAGAAATCTTTGTATTGTCACTGGCTACAGGGAAGATCCCAGAGGATTGGAGAATAGCCAGTGTTGTTCCTTTGTTTAAGAAGGGTGGCAGGGAGAATTCAGCCAATTATAGGGCAGTGAGCTTTATGTCAGTGGTAAGGAAATTATTGGAGAGTACTTTTCGAGACAGGATTTACTCCCACTTGGAAATAAGTGGGCGTATTAGTGAGAGGCAACATGGTTTTGTAAAGGGGAGGTCATGTCTCACTAAATTGATTGAGTTTATTGAGGAAGTGATGAAGATGATCGATGAGGGTAGGGCAGTTGATTTTGTCTACATGGACTTCAGTAAGGCCTTTGACAAGGTCCATCATGACAGACTGATACAGAAGGCAAAGTGGCATGGGGTCAGAGGTGAGCTTGCAAGATGGATAAAAAAATTGGCTCGCTCAAAGAAGACCGGGTAGCAGTGGAATGGTGCATTTCTGAATGGAGGACTGTGACTAGTAGCGTTCCTCAGGGATCAGTATTGGGACCTTTGCTGTTTGTAATATATATGAATGACTTGGAGGAAAATGTAACTGGTTTGATTAATAAGCTTGCGGTTGACACAAAGATTGGTGGAATTGCAGATAGCGATGAGGACCGTCAGAGGATACAGCAGGATATAGATCGGCTGGTGACTTGGGCAGAGAGATGGCAGATGGAGTTTAATCCATAAAAATGTGAGGCAATGCATTTTGGAAGGTCTAATCCAGATGGAAAATATACAGTAAATAGCAGAACCCTTAAGCGTACTGATGGGCAGAGGTATCTGGGTGTACAGGTACACAGGTCACTGAAAGTGGAAACGTAGGAGGAAAAGGGATTCAACAAGGCATATGGCATGCTTGCCTTCATCAGCCGGGGCATTGAGTTTAAAAATTGGCAGGTAATGCTGCAGTTTTATAGAACCTTACTTAGACCGCATTTGGAATATTGTGTTCAATTCTGATCGCCACATTGCCAGAAGGATGTGGTGGCTTTGGAGACAGTACAGAAAAGATTTACCAGGATGTTGCCTGGTATGGAGGGTGTTAGCTATGAGGAGAGGTTGGAGAAACTTGGGTTGTTCTCACTAAAATGACAGAGGTTGAGGGACGACCTGATAGAGGTGTACAAGATAATGAAGGGCATGGATACAGTCAGTTTTTTCCCACGGTGGAAGAGTCAGTTACTAGGGGGCATGGGTTTAAGGTGCGAGGGCCAAGGTTTAAAGGTGATGTGCGAGGCACGTTTTTTATACAGAGGGTGGTGGGTGCCTGGAACCTGCTGCTGGGGAGGTAGTGGAAGCAGATACTATAGTGACTTTCAAAGGGCATCTTGACAAATACATGAACAGGATGAGAAGAGAGGGATATGGTCCCCGGAAGGGTAGGGGGTTTTAGGTGTGATAGGCAGCATGTCGGTGCATGCTTGGGGGGCTGAAGGGCCTGTTCCTGTGCTGTAATTTTCTTTGTTCATTGTTCTACAGGGATGGGGGCAGGAGGGACGATGCCCGGAGTGTCGATGTGGCTGAATGGCCAGCTTCCATGCTGTTGGGGGATTATTCTATGATTCAACGAATTAATTCCTTTCCCTATCAGAGGAGTTGGTCTGATAGAAGTGTATTAGTTTATGTGAGGCAATAGAAAGGGTGAATAGAACAGCAGCTGTTTCCCTTAGTTGAAGGGTCAATCACGAGGAAGGCATAACCTTAAGGTGAAAGGAGGGAGGTTTAGAGGGGATTTGACCAAAAACGTTTTCACCCAGAGGTGGTGGGAATCTGGAATGCACTGCCTGGGAGGGTAGTTGAGGTGGGAAACCTCACACCCTTTTAAAAAGTACTCAGATGAGCACTTAAAGTGTCCTAACATTTGAGGCTGTGGGCCTACTGCAGGAAAGTGGGACTATATAGGTAGTAGTTTATTTTTAGTGGTACAGACTCGATGAGCTGAAGGTCCTCTTCTGTGCTGTATGATTCTAGGTGAAGAGGTGATTTGACAAGTGGTATTCAAAACATTTGTGGGTTTAAATAGAGTGAACAAAGAGTAACCAAAGCATTGGAGGATGTGTAATTAGAGAACACAAGTTTATGAGGTGACCGGAAAGGCTCTTGTGGCACAATGGTAGTACCCCTACCTCTAGATAACCCAGGTTCAAGTCCTTCCTGCACCAGAGGTGCGTAATAACATCCTTAAACTGATTAATTTGGAAAATATCAATAAGGTGATCGGCATTGGGATTCTTGTGGCACTACTGTAGTTATCTTGATCTCTGGATTAGGTCTGGTTCCAAGCCCTATTTGCACTGGAGGTGTGTCATGCCATGTTGGTAAAAATAATGAGAGGTGTAGTGATGGTGCCTCAGAGGTGTGATCAAAAATAAGGCTCGCATAAGGGAGGAAAATACTACTCTGTAATACACTGTCTGAAAATCGATTTAATCTTCGAGCTAATTTTCTAAGGGGATTTTGGAGAAGGGAAATAATGGTTAAAGTGTGGAAGGAAGCGGATTAATTTGAAGAATCGGTACAACCACAGTGGGCTGAATGGTCTCTGCACTATTACTTCATTTTCTTCAGATGCAAGACAAGTGCTACATAGAAAATTCTCTTGCCTGCCCTAAGCTTGGATTTCATTTGAGTTCCGGACTTCAGGTGCTTTTACTCAGACCCCGCATTCTCCCCCTTATCCCACAATGTCCAGCTTCACGACCCCCACCCACCACCCCTAATCTGGTGTTCATGACCCCCACCCACCACCCCTAATCTGTGCCCCCTACGGTCCACTTCCTTCCAATCTCTCCTGGTCCCTCTACTCACTACCTCTTAAGAATAATCTATGAGGGGTTCCCCCTAGTGGCTCAGATCGTAATTCAATCACCACTACAACTCTTCTTAGATGTTTCCCTTCGAGGTTTTCTTGCATACGCTCCTTACTTCCTCATTCTTACACCCTCATTAACCCAATTGACCAGACAACTCATTCCCCTTGCTCCTGCGCGTCCCACCGTATCCATTTGTTTTTCAACTGATTAACAAAGAAACGTCAAACATTTTTGTTTTATATCCCATGCTTTTGCTCCTGCGCTGTTGGCAGCAGTGTCCCGGAGTCTCCAGCAGGACAACCCTGTTTACAGTCAGCCTCCACGCTCTATGAAAGGAGCGGGGCCCTGATCGCATCCAGTGATTTCTGCTGGAAGGTACATTTATATCTGGGCATTGAGTGAGAACCAAAGCAGGCGCGAGAGACACTATTACTGCTGAAAGTCAAGAGAATCCTG